GGCTCGTGCTCAGCAACTGTATCGAACACAAAATGTGAACAATAACATCGTCCATAACAGAGGTTTTATTTTTTATTTTGGGTTAGAACGCGTAGATATAAATGTGCCGTTAAACCCGCCACCACCCGACACAGCCAATCAGTATAGGTTTGTCACGTTAACAAAACGTGCCAATTCGTTACTAGTTCAGCACACCGGTGTCTGTGAGAGTGAACCCACAACAACATTTACAATTCGAGTCCGACGTTTTGCCGGTAATTACAACCAGCATCATCAGGCGACAGCCAGAATTGTGACACCGTGATGATTTTAATCGTTCACTCGTAAAGCTCTGGTTCATTCTGGACACAGATTCAAAATCTTTATTTATCCTGCAGAAATCCGATGAGCTATGAAGCTCTTTTTAACAGATGTCTTGGTGGGGACGAGTCAGAAAGTTACAAACAATACAACAACGTGATAAGAGTGCAAAGTCGAGGAAAGGTAAGAAAAGTACGACAAAAAAATAACAAACATAAAGCATCTTCTTGGTTCTTTCGGTAAAGTCACGTAGAAGGGAAATAATAAAATAATAAAAATAAACCAATAAAATTTAAATTCTCACGACGTTTCGGCCACAACACAAGCAGCCGTCCTCAGGTGAAGAAACAGAGCTGTCGGAAAGACAGCATCCCAATGAACAACTGAGGACGGCTGCTCGTGTTGTGGCCGAAACGTCGTGAGAATTTTTATTTTATGATGTTTTATTTATATTATTTCATTATTTCCCTTCTACGTGACTTTATCGAAAGAAACAAGAAGATGAATCCCTGCAGTCACGAAAGCTTTAAATCGAAAAATACAAAGCATATAAGTAATTCACATCAATGACATCAATTCCTCTATTCTTCTCGTCCAGCCCCTTTACGAATACTCCTGGATCCACGAACATCGAGCAGCAACCCTCCACTGACATCAACTAAGAAGGCCAAGTGACTACCAGGAAAGATTGTCTACATGCAATAAAGTTATTGAGCCATTGGCCAAAACAGAGCTTATCAGTGCCAACCAGGGTGCCAATGCTGCAACATGTTTTTTGGAGCGTTTTAATCTCTAGGCCACAATTATTTATGATAGCAAGGTCACTGTGGTAGACGTTTTATTTTTTTGCGGGAACATGTCACGAAACGCCACCGTGTTATATTTGACGCAGTATATCATTCCGCCTTACAGATTGTGAAAATAAACAGTAAGCGTGTCGATAAAGTACACGGTATGTACGCTAAGCTCTGTGTGTGTACACTGCCCATGGTGGGTGTTAGTCGCATTTGTCACCCCGGCTACCAACCCACCCCCCTTGGCACGCGAGATATATTTGAGCGTTTCCCAAGGAGTCTGAAATGTCACAGGATGTAGCTGTCAGTATCCTCGACTCGTAAGGGAATGATCGGAATGAGTCGACGGTTCACTGGCACTCTTTTACATATCTGTGCTGTTCGATTTACTGTCGTGAAAGTCTGGTGAAGGAGAAGACAATTAAATTCACATCAGCCCTCACCTGTATTGGTAGCAGGAAAAAAAGCATTCTATCGTGTAAACACAGCTATATATCGATTGAAATTGTTCAAGTAATCAAATTTGAATGCTCAATTGACTCGCCGTAATAATGAAGTCATGAATGCGGGATGCATTACATTTCCAATGTGCTGCTTGCGAGGTTATGCCACGCCTGGCTGTAGATCAATATCTATTCTCTCCCGGATGTAACTTTACAGTCTGACTTGACCATTCCACCACGGAGCAGATGGTCCCTGGGCCGAGACGAGTGGTGGATCGGCAGCCAAAGAATCCTCATTGAGAGGGCGACCTCTGCGGAGATGGAGCGACGGAATCTACACGCGTGCACGAGCTCGATGCATTTCTTTCTGTGTTTGCACTACAAGACAGTGAGAGATGGTGACGGCTTTTTGGAAGGCCTTCATCCAGCAGTGGATAGATCACGGCTGACGGTGAAGTTTATAGGGTTTTTTATGATTTGCAAGCGCATGTTTAATGGTCATTATCTGCGAGTGGAAACAATTCGCGTGTCATCTTTGAGAATGTTATTTCGTCGGCTTTCTTCGTTTTTTTTTATAAACCCCCAAAGTGTCGAGTGCTGCTGCTAGTCAGTCAATCTCTCTGCCCTCTCTATATACTCTGAAGAAGGGCAATAGACAAACACATCCGTCTTGTATATCTATGTATTCTGCTATTAAACAGTGATAATTAATGTCCTAACTATTTTACGAGTTGTGCCCCACTGACAACACAGTCGCTGTTGATTTTGGGTTTTACAAGGATACTGTTTTGTATCTCATTGGTGGCAATGCGTCTAGCTTGTCGCAAGCCAGCCTGCGATGATGGAACACCAATGTCTACCATGATGGTTTGGACGCGTTCAGCTCCAGCCGCGCAACTGACTGCCTGCACCACTTCATCAACGTAATGGGTAACAAAAGTTAAAAAGAAACACGTGTCATCCGCTGCACAAGCAAAGTGTTTTGTCCAATAAATGATTGGTGCTGCCTTGGCAGTGGTTGCACAAGCACGATAAACACGATGTGAAAACATATGCTGGATAATAATAAAATGTGTCAGAAGCGACGTTTCAGGCAATGGTCCTTCTTTATAGCAGAGGGCGCTATTGAAGATGGGCCATTGTTACAAAATGTCGCTCTTTGTATGCAGTCATTACCCTTCTGGTAATAAACCAGGTGTTAAGATGTTCAAACACAAAACTTTTTGCAAGGAATCATGTCTGGGTTAACCACACGTACTTGTGGTGAACATTCAAACTAACCTGCTCTGCTAACACTATGTAACAATATTTGTCACAAAAGCAAAGTTTTGTGGAGAATAATAGCTATTTTCTATACTTTTTAAGCATAAGCAATTACGAAATAACACTTACTACCCAGGAACAAAAATTGTGTTACATAGTGTAATATATGACATTGTCTATGAAACTTATTGGCCTACACCAGAGCCAGCCTTATTGTTTTTCATACTTTAATACTGGCGAAGCATTTCCCATGATATACTATTATATATATTTCCCATTAGGGTTGTTATTGACGAATGTATTGCGTGTATGTTTTGTAATTTTTATATGAGTATAATGGGGGGGGGGGAGAAGGGGGGTGAGTCTGGATTTGCTGACAGTCAAATTAGCCAGTCCCTGCCTGCTTATCAGCCATTGAAGCCGCAGCAGCTGCTCACGGCGCGAGACGCGCAGTCATTAAAACGCGAAGCTTCGGCCTTCCGTTTCACCGCACAATGATCATTGCCAAGTTTCCAACTTACGCGTTTAGTTCCCCCCCCCCCCGCCCGCCCCCTGCAAAGTTTTACTTCAACTAAAGTGGCGCTTGGCGAAAAAGGCGGAACGCGACCTTGACTTTGTGGTGAATCTCGTGGAGAGATAACAATGAACGCAAAAGCAGTCATTTTCTCCACGATGGGAAAAATATGACACGGTCGGCATGTTTAGGAAAAAGTTGGGCAGATTCTTGTTTATGTTGTACAAAGATAGTGAGCACTAAAAACCATTCTAGATTTGAAGCTTTCGTGACTGCAAGGATTCATATTCTTAGGTTTTTTCGGTAAAGTCACGTAGGTAAAAACATCAAAATTAATCTGATCTTCATTTTATTTTATTTTTTATTAATTTTGATGTTTTTACCTATGTGACTTTACCGAAAAAACCTAAGAATACTAAAAACCATATCAATCGTATGAATAATATACAGCTGCCTGTCCATCCAGTACTAGATGAAGGCCTCCTGATGCCGTGTCCGTGGAGCAGGTCCGGTGAAGTCACCACCCACGTTAGCCGTGGTCAGGAATCCAACTTGAGTTGCCGAGGTCAAAGCAGAGAGCGCTAACCACTGCGCCACTGCTCCATCCCAAACAAACGGTACTCTTTTGTCAGAATTTTGCTGCGTACGTTCCGTGAAGATGGATTAAAACTGCCTAAATTAACAAAGTGTTGAAAATCACATTGCGGAAAATTGCATAAAAAAACGAAATGCCTGGATCACTGGAAGATTCATGTGAGAGATGCACGTGGCTCAAGGTCATGTGTGAGTGGTAGCTCCCTCTGCTGCCGATGAACCCTTTCATTGGACTCACAAGTATTATACTCATATTTTTTACACAATGATGATGATAATAATAATTTACAGCTAGTTGTGCATGATCGCCTCCCCATGCCGTGTTTTTATCATGGGAGTTTGCTTAATCATACTTCACCATACTGGTCACGTGCAGGTTGGCGAAGATAAGGAAGGAGTCTAAGACGGGTTCTGACATCAAAAAATAAAATCTATCTCGGGGTGCCACGGTGACGAGGTGTTCATTACCTCGCCTGGTATACAGGAGGTCGTCGGTTCAATCCCGACCCTGACGATGCCTGCTGCTGTATAATTGGTCGCGTGGATTTTTCTCCGGGGCCTCCGGTTTTTCACTCCACACGTAGAACGATGCGTTTCGAGTATTTGGCTGCGATACACTTCCACACGATGGGCCACTTCGTTGAGCAATCATTTATGGCCAGGTCGCTTCTGACAAAGAGCTACTTCCCAATATACCCCACGTTCATCAATCATCTTCATCATCAGTCATGATCGATCCACTGCTGGATAAAGGTTTTCTCCCATGCATTGCCAAATCAACATACCCCATAGCAATAACAACGTTATTGGTAGAAAAATAATAATTCAAAATATAATAAAAACACACGAAATAAAAAGAACTGAAATGAGCTGACAAGGCGCTCATGTCAGTTGCATCACGTAACACCAAAACTTTAGTTTGCTGACCCTAACAATAATGTAGCCAGACCCATGACATGTTTTCCTCTTGGATGCAACCGGGTGACTTCAGGGCATCTCGAAGCGTGACATCTTGTCACAGCGGCTCCGAGTTGCTCCACGATGAGATATATAAACCCCACTTTCTCAACGCATCGGCCACATTCCGAGGACTCCCACAAGTGCTCGGCTGTACTGCAAGGGGCCTGTGAATCTACAATTTTGCCCAACAAGGTAAATTTGTTTTCGATGCTGAAAGTATACAAAGATCCCTTGGTCATCATCGTCATCATCAGCCATGATCGATCGCAACATCGGAAGGTTGCGAGTTCGAATTGTGGTTGGAGGTTGACTCAGCCCATCAACCCTCTGGTGGGGGGGGGATGGGGTCAATACAATAAGAGTCACTTTGTGAGGACGCCAACAGCGGTTGTCCTGTGGATAAGACTTGCGCCCCCGCCCATAGGAATGTGGAGTTTCCACCGCTGGCTCAGGCCTGCGAACGGGTGACGACTGACGCTTCGACGCTCGCTTCGGAATGTAAATGACAGCGCCGTCGTTACGCATTCACCCGAGTGAGCTGTCCCTCGTTCCGTCGGTGCGTTTAGCCGGGGCCTCCGAGGCAACATGTGGTCGCGACCGGAGCTGGTGACCCTGTTGGTGGCGGCGCTGCTCGTGCTGGAGGGGACGGGCGCGAACGAGGAGGCCAAGTCCAAATGCCAGCTGCTCGCCGGCGTCCCTGGCGTTGACGGCTTCCCCGGGCGCGATGGCCGGCCAGGTGAGCGACGCGTTTTGCAACGAAAAAAATAAAAACGACGCCCGTGGCCACGTGCGTGACGATGGCCGCTGAGCACGCGCGACGCACGTGCGGCTCATCCTGCGTTGTGGAGGCAGCGGCGAGGGTTGTCGGATCGCGCTCAGGTGTTGCGAAACTCCCTTCCCGTGGTCGGGAGAGATGCCGGACGCTGGCTTGCCGGGAGAACGAGATACAGCAGAAGTGAACTCCACCTGTTCCATCTGTAGGAGATCGAGTGTTTTCCCTGGACGCTCCCGTTTCCTCCCATATGTAAACACTCATTCATTGGCTGAAAATATCTCGATATATGAAGGACTGCAGAGCTTGGGCAATTGTTTGCGGTGGTTAGCCACCTGCCCGCCTGTCCGTGTTGCCTCGCACCTCTTGAGTCATTGTCTTCCACAGTGAGCGAATAACTGTGCAGCACCGCGTTACAAGATGATCGTATCGTCATTTGTGTTAAGGGTCTATGATACGATGCGGTCATGAAGGAACAGGTCGACAGATAATCTCGTGAAGGCCTTGGAAGATAGGACTCGCACAGTGATGGAGACAGACATAAGATGGGTAGAGAGCAAGCCACAGACCAGGCCAGCCGGTGCCTGTACATTTGAAACAATGATGATAACGATGGCGAACTGATGATTATTTAATTCAAGTGTCATGTAAATATATATATACATAAAGCATCTCAAGTCGCCGTACAAAAGTGCACTAGAAGTGAAGTGGACTTTTTCATGATATAGGAAATGTCAGGGATGGAATGATCAGTGTCTAGATGGGGGGATGGTGGGGTGAGGGCATCAGACATAGCGTGTTCCACCGCAAGAGGAAATAGAAATAGCGGCCGAGAGGCTGGCATCATCTCTCCTGGTTCTCGCAAACTTTTCGGAGAAATGACCGCTAGGTTCCTCACACCACGCAGCAGCAGAAGGAGAAGTACCCACGCAAGTAGCGTTTTTTGGGGGGGCGGAGGAGATCATGTCAGGTTTGAGAGCGCGAACGCCATTAGATATCATAAAAAATTAACCCGTAAAAACAAAGTTTTTCACTATAAATCCTTTATATGCGTGGCGGCTCGAGTCCTCTCGTCCTCTGGCTTGAGATGGCTGCCACCTATGGGTCAGATGATTGCCTGCCACCATTAAGCAATTGGTAATTAAATATTTTTAAAAAATCCTAAAAAGTGTAAAGTTATGGAAAAAAAATTGACGAAAATAAATTGTCACGCACAACGAGTCTGTGTGCAAAATGTCAGCTCGATTGGATCACGGGAAGTGGGTTAAAAAACGACCGAAAGATTTGCATGGTCGTAAGCGTGCAAGCAAGCAAGTGAACTTAATATAAAGGATTTAAAAAGAGGAGGCACAGACATTCGGCGGGCTGTAAATATATTCGTTTTTAGCTCGTGCATTACGACCATGACGACAGTGATGGTCGATGTCGACGATGATGGAGGACAGCTGCTCAGACTTGACAACGCAGAGTCGCCTTGAATACAGAATCGAGCAGCTTGTGTTTTCCGGACGCGCAGGAGGAGGATGTACGGTTACATGGCCCGTGCACGGTCCCATCTCTCTCGTGTGGAAGTCAACTCGCACGCTTCCTTTGGCGATTCGCATTCTCTTCACGCACTGAATTCGTCGGTTGCGTAAGGGTGTGCGCGTGATCTCGTGACAACAGCTCGAATCGAATCATCCTTTGCTGCATTTAGTGTTTGTGCCATGGTTGTAGCGCGAGGCTAAGTCTCGCAGCCGAGCACAGTCTGCAGTGGCTTTACAGCAGGGCCGTCATGATTACCATTTATGTGCTCCCAATCGGGGAATCGGGTTATTTGTTGGGTTATTTTATTCAAAATTGGTAACATTTGGACCATGACCTCAGCGCACACGACCTGTCCATTTTCAGATAGCGTCACGGGACGGTGAACGTCTGCTGTTTAGGCGGTCAGCGTATAATATTTTTTGGTCCATACGCCCGCAGTGTTTACCAGGGCGGCCGTGGGGTTCGAAGCGTGAGTGTCCGCAACAATCGGCGAAACGCGCGACCGCTCGGCCGTGTCACCGCACCGCGTCGTTGTTGCTGAGCAAAATGTTGTGTTATTAGTATCATCATCATCTTCGTCATCATTGTTATTGTGATGCAGGAATGCCAGGGCCCAAAGGAGATCGTGGAATGCCTGGGCAAGGAGAGAAGGGAGACGCGGGTACACGCCACACCAACGGCCACCGCACCTGTGACCTCATTCCTTTGTTGTGATCACTTTTTGTTGTTGTTGTTGTTTGTGCTCTTTGTTTTGGTGCCATTTCTTTTTTTTTGCTTGGTAGTTGGGTTTTCATTTGCTTGGTATGTGTGTGTGTGTGTTGGGCTTCATTTGCGCTGTACGTAGCCAATCGCGTATATGAGATTTGGGCTATATATATAATTAATATACAGCCTTGTGGGATGCTGTTGGCATGAATGATGCTGCTATTCAAAAGTAATGTATTATAATTAGCTGTCACGATTCGCCTTCGTCGCGTTGCAGTGCGTCGCAAAGATTCAGGGATTCCAGTTGAACGGTTAATGCAAGACTTGGCTCCTTGCAAAAGGTTTCTATTTGGTGTTTGAACATCTTAACACCCCCTGTTTTATTGCCAGAAAGGGTAAAACTTATTCTTATTTTGCATACTTTGATTCTGGCAAAACGGTCCCCACGACATGTCCGACGTGAGTTTGAATCTCCATTAATGAGGAATAAGCATGGAAAGTCACAGTCAAGTACATCCATGTTGAACTCTGGTGACAGCAATGTGACAAATTACTCAAATAAATATACACCTTCTTGGTTCTTTCGGTAAAGTCATGTAGAAGGGAAATAATAAAATGATAAAAATAAAACATAATAAAATACAATTCTCACGACGTTTCGGCCACAACGCAAGCAGCCGTGGCCGAAACGTCGTGAGAATTGTATTTTATTATGTTATATTTTTATTATTTTATTATTTCCCTTCTACGTGACTTTACCGAAAGAACCAAGAAGACGAATCCCAGCAGTCACGAAAGCTTTAAATCGAAATATATATATACACGTTTTGACTTTCCGGTTGCATCTTCAAGGATGTGAATTGGCTCAATGGTTGACGTTGCAGCCGTGGCTATGAAACCCCGACAACCTTTCATGCAGGACCCCCGGGACCGTCAGGGCCCAGAGGCGAGGATGGAATTCCTGGGACAAAGGGATTAAGAGGGGACGACGGTGAAAAGGGCGAAAAGGGAGCAACCGGTAAGTCGCTCCGACCTTGACACGAGGACACTGGTGAATGTGGTGACCACCGCTGTGCTCCGGACCGGGGCCGGATTAAGGCGTGGGGAGCTTTAGGGGCTGCAAGCCAGGGAGCCTCCACCAGCTGGAGGGCATCCACAGATTAAGTGAAAAGTTATTTCAATTGTGAATGCTGAATTTTATTTGTTGTTAGCCTTGTAAAAACAAAAAATAAAATTATTTTACTTTGTTTTCCTTTTTGAAAATGTTACTGGGGGCCTCACAGGACCTGTAGCCCAGGGGCCTACACAAACTTAATCCGGCCCTTCTCCGGACACTCCGGTAATCGCGACCAGCGGCGTTTCCTCGTTCCCAACTGCGTTTACAAGCCTCGTCGAAACATTGAGAAGTGTCCACATGATAAGTCGCCGCTTCGTTGAGTTATCATTTGTGTCCAGGTCACTTCTAGAAAAAGAGTTCAGAGAGCCTTTCGTGTATTGGAATACAGAGATACATCAAACAAACCAAAATATTTAGTGTGCTCCATGATACGCACGCGTTAATATCCAGCATTCCAACTCTGGTGGGGGTGGTTAAGGAGAGGGGGGGGTGGAACCTGATGACTCCAATACAATTCGCGAGGCAACCTCAACCCGCTCCGGTCAGTATCCAGAGCAAGCGACTGGCCCTCTCCAAGTCTGACTCAAACCACAGTTTGGGGGCGGTGGGGTCCCAACCAGATCCAATTGCGCTGGGCAAATGCGACGAGCGATGCTTTGCGCGTGCCTAACCGCATTCACTTTAATTGAACAGGAGCCAACGGGAAGGTTGGACCCAAGGGCACGATGGGTCTTCAAGGGGCTCCCGGCAACCCCGGCATGAACGGGGGGAAGGGCGACGTCCCCGTGGTGAAGAAGTCCGCGTTCAGCGCGAGGGCGAGCGTCGGCAAGAGCGTCCCCAAAGCCCCCGGGGCGATCGTCTTCGACGTGGTCGTGACGAACGACTTCGGTCACTACGACGAGGGCAGCGGCAGGTTCAGGTGCGCGATCGCCGGTCACTACTTCTTCTCGTTCCACGCCGCCGTCGCCGCGAAGTCGCTGCAGGTCGTCGTCATGCTCGGCGACAAACCGCAGGTGACTTTTTACGACCACTTCTCGGGCGCCGGCGGCGCCGACAGCATGAGCGGCGGCGTCGTGCTGCGCTTGAAGGTCGGCGAGGAGGTCTGGCTGCAGATGATGACGATCAACTTCGGTTTGTACATCGACGACAAACGGGACGCCGTGTTCAGCGGCTTCTTGCTGTTTGCCGATTGAGAGCGAGCCGCCGGCGCAAGGTCGGGCGGCGCTTAACCAATTAACCTGTTCGCATTTTTAACACTGTACGCAAAGTTGGTCATCGACGAAAGTGCACGCGGGTCACCGATGCCCAAGAGGGTTGACGTGGACTTTGCAAGAACGTGGGCGCCATGACAAATGACGTTGCAAGTCAACGCAATTAAATTTTCTTTGTGCACTTTGTAGCATTTGGTGGCGCGGCAGTGCGATGGGTTCGTGAAACGATCCATGAACCCCAGGCACTCGAGTTCAATTCCCCGCCACGGCTAACGTCATCGGCGAGCGATATCCGAACTATCCCCGGGGCCCTGCCCACTTCACTCACCTGCACTGGCGGGCGTGGTGAAGTTTGGCCAAATAACCCCCATGACTGGCTCGGCCTTCGATCAGCAATGCATTGACAGAGGGCTGTGGCGACATCACATCTGCCTGCTCGATTTGAGACCGAAACAGGAGGAGTGTTTCTCCACAATTCTGGCTGTCGCCTGACGAGGCTGGTTGTAATTACCGGCGAAACGTCACGTGACCAGAATTGTAAATGTTGTTGTGGGTTTACTCTCCAACACACCGGTGTGCTGAACTAGTAACGAATTGACACGTTTTGTTTACGTGACAAACCTTACTAATTGGCTGTGTGGGGTGGTGGCAGGTTTAACGACACATTCATATATTTAGGCGATCTAAAATAAAAACCTCTGTTATGAAAAAACATATTTTACATATATAAAAGCGACCCCATATCTCGATAATGTACAAATGAGTACGTGTGGAGTCAGAAGGGGTGGATAGCAAAACCACGCCGACAAGCGGAGCGAGGATGGTGACATCACAGCAAGAAGCAGCGCTGGCAATTAATGCGGAGATAGTTGTGCGCGTGCATGAATAAAATTTACATTCTATGCGCGGGCGATCTGAGCTGTTGTGATGCAAACATAAGCTTTAAAGTTATTTCACTGTGAGATTTTCTGTCGCATTGTAATGGTCTCTTCAACACTTTCCTAACTGCCCTGTGTTCTGTTGAAATAAAAAATAAAACGAACTCAGCAACTGGTTATCTCTTTTTTAGGCTTGAACACAAAGCGAATATACGTTCATGTGCACATCTGACAAAAGCACTGTTTAGTGTTCCATAAGCAGAGCAGATGTCGTCGCCAATGCCATTTAAATCCACCGTCGCTGTGCGTTACCCGCACCTGAGTTTGTACATCGGTGACCTTCACGCGTTTGGAAGAAACATCTGACAACTGCCACAAGCCTGTTTGGACCAGGCCTCTCACATCTCGGCGTAGAAGGCAATCTTTCAACCTTTTTTTTGGTCCGGTGTGAAGATATTACCGGTTAATACACTCCGCAGTATTAAACGGGGCGGCCGCTGTAAATCGAACCGTGAACCTCTGGCAACAGGCGGGCGACCCCCCTCCCAGCAGGCCGAGTCACCGCCCCTTGACCCCTCCCACCCCAGTCCCAAGACACCACCGAGGCTGCTGAGGTCACAACACAGAGAGACCACACGTCCACGCGTCAAGGAAGGCAATTGTTTTACGTTGTTGTCATCAATGCCCCCCCCCACGCACATTGAAAATGTATCCCGCGCAATTTGCATGCCGCAGCCTGCGTCCGCCCTGAAAGGCTTTCCCTCTGGGTTTATATAACTGTTAGCATCGAGTTTATTTTCCTCAATGGCAAGACCGTCACGTTCATCTGCAAGCACGGAATGGAGTTGTTGTTTTGGTGCCATTTTTTTATTTTGCTTGGTAGTTGGGTTTTCATTTGGTTGGTATGTGTGTGTGTGTTGGGCTTCTTTTTCGCTGTACGTAGCCAATCACGTATAGGGGGTTTGGGCTATAGATATAATTAATATACAGCGCTGTGGGATGCTGTATGTATGCTTGCAGCTGCACAGCAGTGATCGTACGACTTGGAACTGCTTAACGTCGCTTCAAAGCCACGCGGGTTTGTAAGCACACTCATTAAAAGCCGAAGCTTCAGCTGTCGGTTCGGCCACCTGGTGAGTGTTGCCAACTTTCGGAATGATGCGGCCAGTTCCCTTGCTGAAGTGGTTTCACTTCTCCGTTTCTTTTTTGTTCGCCACTGACAGGGGGCTGCTGAGCCAGACGATGCAGGTCTCTGATTCACCGTCCAACATTTTCGTGGTTACGGTATTTCCCCAGAGCTTACAATAATAAATAAATATAATTAATAAAGGCAATGTCGCCGTTTAAAACAATTGCCACACCAAAGTCATCTTTCGTGCAAGTGATAGTTTGTGAGTTAATCTTCTTGGAACATTGCCACGACGAGTTCCCTCCATTCCTTCCTGTCTATGGCAACTTGTTGCTAGTCCTGCACCGTGTTGCGCCACGTGGTCTGGGGTGTCCCACAGAAAATAACAAAATAACAAAAAGCTACGACGTTTCGATCGCAACAAAAGCGGTCTCATCAGGATGACGACCTGTCTTTGGCAACTTGTTGATTCGTCCGACCACTTGTGTTGCGATCGAAACGTCGTAGTTCTTTGCTATTTTGTTATTTTCTTTGAAGCTAGCAACGTGACTTTACCGAAAAACCCAGAGAATATGAATTCCTGCAGTCACGAAAGCTTTAAGTCAAGTGATAGATATATTATTCCTCCTGATGACGATCGCTTGTGTTGCGATCGAAACGTTCTAGTTTTTTGTTACTTTCTTTGAACCTATATACCTATCTACGTGACTTTACCGAAAGACCCAGAGAATATGAATTCCTGCAGTCACGCAAGCTTTAAGTCAAGAAAGACCATTGTTTAATTCATCATTCGCGAAATAAAAAAAGGCGGATGAGAGAGCAGATCAGGGTGCGTTTAACACGCTAAACGTCACAATGTACGGCAACATACGAACGCGCCTAGAAAAGAGTCAACGTTATGCAGACATATCGACTCAATATTATTGGACGGTAAATAGTAAATGATATTTGTGTACTGAGTGTCGAGAATCAACCTGTGGATAATATTGACATATGTCATGAGCAAATAACACAAATATAAACAACAACTGTACACATTGATCAATAACAAAATAAAAAATATTGCATTGGCGACGTTTTAGGCAATGACCCGTCTTCATAGCACGTGACATATATAGTTTGCCTTTTAAGGTCTAGTGTTATTGATAAATGTGTTGAGTTTTTTTGTTAATAATGCTTGTGCGCCACTGCCAAGCCAACATCGCCAAATCATTAACTTCTATAAACAGGCCAGGTCACTCGAAGCGTGGATTACTTGGACTGCTCATAGATTGTGAGTCTCCAAAAATGCTCCTCTCATGCTCTACAGTTGTCCAAGGAAATTCTATAAAACTTTGCTGTTTACTCCTTTATACCCCTGAAGGTAAAAAATATATATACACATTCCACACCTTCTATATATATACTTCTACAAAACTAAAATAAATAAAATAAAACACAGACATAAAAAGGAACTATTGGCTGTTGCATACGTAACGCCCAAATCGCAATTTGTCAGATTACTTCCGCTCTCTATAACAATGGGATTTTCCTCTTCAACAGTACAGGGTCAACAACCTGAAGCATGACATTATGACTGCAGCTCTGAATTAGTCCACGAGGGGGGGGGGGTGCGGGGGGGATGTGGCGAGGGAGATATAAACCCTGATTCTGCACGCATCGGCCACATTCGGAGGACTTCGCAAGGGCTCACAGACTCTCCTGCAAGACCTGTCAGAGTTCACTCGAGAAGGTAACGTTCTGGGCGGTGGTGGAATAAAAAAAATCAACAGGTGCCCCGTGGCCACGGCGGGGTTTTTGCCAACCGGTGTCCTGACGTTTACGAGGGCATTCTAGATTTGAAGCTTTTGTGACTGCAATGATTCATATTCTTGGGTTTTTTCGGTAAAGTCACGTAGGTAAAAAATAAAAATTAAAATGAATAAAAGTAAAATAAAATAAAAAATAAAATAAAAATCACGACGTTTAGGTTCCACCTGAAGACGGAAGCTTGTGTTGCCTCCGAAACGTCGTGATTTTTATTATATTTTTAATTTTAATTTACTTTTATTAATTTTTATTTTTTACCTACGTGACTTTACCGAACAAACCCAAGAATATGTTTACGAGGGCATTCTTAGTGGCTGGATTGAAATGCGTGGGCATTTTTGCAAGTCTGTTAATTGCGATACAATTGTATTGTTCGTTTAAACGGGAGACAGACTGTAACTTTAGGAGACTCGCAACATACGTACCACACGAATGTATAAAATGCATGGAAAGTACGTAAGAAACATTGCAGTTTATAATATTCCAAGTTTATGTTCATTGATGCTCTTAAAATATTTCATTCAGAAATCGAAATCATTTACACAGGTGTGCAATTTTGATTTAAAGTGGCAAATATAAAGGACAATGTATGTGCCCAGATTTGATTGTAAATGTATAAATGGGTACATCCCAGCTGGTGGGGTGCTTCCACCTCTTCCAAGACATGTGGCCAGCACGTCAGAGGAGAGCAATAACCCATCCAAGACTCTAAAGCAGTGGTTCTTCTTCTTCTTCACCTGGGGGTGCGAGATGTCCTTTCTGGGCGTGCGAGACGTGCCCAGATATTTTTAGAAGGCAAATCATCGAAACACAAATTAGGCACGGGCACGTACGTACAACTACTTTGTTTCATCAAACCTTCTGTGTATTTATTAGCATTACACATTTTTTTACGATTGAGAACCAACGGTGGTGCAAGGCTGCAGTGAAGGTTAAAAACTACTGCTCTAGAGGAAGAGTCCCGTTATAGCGGGGGACCCTTCTGGTAACAGTGGCGCGAGAAGGCACTTGCAGAGCCGCACCTTTGAACCTTCTTATACCATCACGGTAGCTTCACGTGGCGGATTTTTAAATCCTTTATATTAAGTTCACTTGCTTGCTTGCTTGCGCGCTTACGACCGTGCAAATCTTTCGGTCGTTTTTTAACCCACTTCCCGTGATCCAATCGAGCTGACATTTTGCACACAGACTCGTTGTGCCTGACAATTTATTTTCGTGAAAACATTTTTCAAAATTTTTACACTTTTTAGGAAAAATTTAATTATATTTAATTACCAATTGCTTAATGGTGGCAGGCAATCATCTGACCCATAGGTGGCAGCCATATCAAGCCAGAGGACGAGAGGACTCCAGCCGCCACGCATATAAAGGATTTATAGTGAAAAACTTTGTTTTCACGGGTTAATTTTTTGTGTTGTTCTCCTGGATGCCGTGGCGGGCGCGGCGTCTGCGTGCTCCAGGCGACATGCGGGGCCGCCTGCAACTCGTGGCCGTGTTGGTGATGCTGCAGCTCGTCGTGTTGAGGGGGGCACAGGCGAACGAGACGGCGACGAGTGAAAAGTGCAGCGGAATGCCGGGAATCCCCGGCACCCACGGGCAGAACGGGCAGGCCGGGCGGGACGGCAGGGACGGTGAGTGAGAGGATGCGACTCGTGAATTTAAAAATAAACATAAAACTAAACATTTTTTTTATTTGGCCAGGTAAGGCCCACTGAGCTACTTAGCTCTCGTTTTCAGAAGCGACCTGGCTCTCACAAATAATGGCTCAACGAAGTGGCTCATCACGTGGACATTTTTAGCAGCCAAATACTCTAAACGCGTGATGTTGATTCTAAATATGGAGGGGAAAACCCGTCGGACCCGGAGAAAAATCCACCTGACCATGGAGAGAGAGACACACAAACTCCAAATATACAGCAGGCGTCAGGGTCGGGATCTAACCGACGCCCTCCCGTATACTAGGCGAGGTAGTTAACATCTCGCCACCGTGGCGCAGATGTTAATCTACAAAAGCACGTGGAGGCGGCGGTGGCACACCTTGACTGTGTCAACACAGTGTTGTGGCACACATTGATTGGCCGGCTTGCTGTTCAATGGGACAGGGAGTCAATTAGGTTGACGCCCGATTTAATTATTATTAAAAGGCGTAAATACGAGAGGCGTTAAGATATCCAGACACTAAATAGACACCAATTACGAGGCATCGCGTCTGCGCAACCCCACATTGTTGTGGTAAAAGAAAACGCAAGTATGATTTGAGAATTCGTGCATTTGGCCACATAGAAGCCACGTGATTTACGCGAGGATTGAACTTATTTAGATATACAGGTTGGCCCAAAAGTTAGTAATTTATTTTAACTATGGTATTTAAAAATTGTAGCTATTTAGTCTTTGTTAAATATGTTTATTTATTTTTTATTAATCTCTATTTTTTATTCATCCTGTGGGGAATCCCCAAATCCGCCGTTTACAAAACTCGACCATGAACCCCGAAGGAACTGAGCCAAAACATCGTCGATGAATGTTCCTAGATTATACCTGCAGTCTTTTGTATTTTCAAATTCTGAATTAATTTCATAAGATAATTCACGTGTGCGTGAATGTTGATGGTCATGAACATTTTGTTCGTGTAAATGAAAAACCCTACGTGGTTTGTTAATGTAAATATAATAACCCTGTGTGTCCTCACCTTTCGGCCCCTGTATTTCGATACTGACGTCAACTGGTTCGCCTTGCGAGAAGCTGCTTCTGTGAATCTCGCACACCACTCGACGAACTTGTCACCACTGGTAGTGTGAAAATTGCTCAAGTTGTAAATGTACCCCGAAAATTGTACCCCAAAATTATACTCAAATAGTAAATGTTGCGGTGTTTACTCTCCAACACACCGGTGTGCTAAAGTAGTAACTAATTGCCACGTTTTGTTCACGTACACAAATCTCACTCATTGGCTGTGTCGGGTGGTGGCGGGTTAACGACTAATTTATATTTCCGCGATCTAACCCAAATAAAACCTTTTTTTAAATGAAAATCGCTGAACGCTCCCAGCGAGTGGTCAGCGTAGAAGGGAGGGGAAGGGTGGGAGGGGGGTGTGACTGGGGAAGAGGAGCACTCCTCGTCAAATCCACGTGGCAGCCCCCTCCGATTCCAAACCCCTTGCGAGATGCCACTACGGCGCAATCCCACACCGCACAAAAATAACAACAACAAATCCCCAACCGTGGAACGAGCCGCTCGGCTTTCACGACGACGACGACGAGGAACAGCAGCAGGCGGCCCTCGCGAGCCCACCTTGCCACCCTCGGTGGGTTGAGACAGGATAATAAATATTGCACGATTACATTTGAATTGATGTAACCCAGGTGGTCGGCGTCGCAACAGCGACAACGGTGTTTCGTGCGTCCCGAAGGGTTTATTTAATCTCCTGGTTAAAATCGAAGATGTAGAGGATACAGCAACGAGAGGACAACGTTCCGTCTTGTTCCAGGCAAAGCTCGCGATGTCGTCTCCCGTGTGCCATTCTCTGCGTGTCAACTCGTTGACCATTTAACAGACACGCACCCTCCTGCACACTTAATTATGCTAATTGCTCAACCATCTATTTTGTGTCACTGCGGCTAAATTAACTGCGGTGCAAATGCATCACGTGGCCTAATCGTTTTGATAAAAAAAATTGCAACAGTGTTGAGACAAAAGTTAAAAAAATTATATTCTTGTAGAAGACAATATGTTCATGAGCTAAATGCAATTGTCGAGGTGTGCGGGCCGCAACGAGAGGACTTCAGGAGAGAGCTCGTGTTGTTTTGCTATTCCTACGTGGAAAGAGCGTAGACTAAAGTGGTTACCACTTCAGTTGCATGTCCACAGTCACACTGACTCTGGCTTGTCTTCAATGCTCCACTGATGAAGCAGATGTGCGCATCGGCCTGTGATGTTCAGCTACTGTTGATGGTTTAACCACCGGTGTCTTCGAGGAGGAATGTCAAAGCCAGGAGATGTGCGATGTTTGGGCCTTGAATTAAATGGGCGTCATTAATTTGACTCTTTTCTGTGAAACCCCCAGGACAACCCGGACAGAAAGGAGAACGTGGGGATGCTGGGAAAGGAGATCCAGGCATTCCTGGTACAGCACAACGCACAGTGTTTTAATGCGTTTTTTAACACAATGTTTTCATGTTGGAAACATTATAAGATACCACTCTTGTTTTATTACAGAATATGTATCTACTACGCAGATAACCCTCGATAATTATCCGCGGGTGGATTTACCCGCTTTTTTTACATTAACCTTGCTTGTGAAAAAAACACAAATATATTGCAAGATGTTTTACATTGCGCGCTGGTTTAATTACCATTCACTCCTTACTTGTGGAGGGCCAGTGACTCGTTGCCCACGTGACTGCAAACATCCACGAGTAAACAAACTTCAATAAACTTTTTTTTAAACACCCACAGATGACACATTCTAATGTTACTCGCTGATTCTACATAGGTAAACTAGCATTACCCCGTGGACAATCGAGCGTTGACTGCACAGTAACGCAATTTGTCGCCCGACGGAGATGCTCACTGGCTGTGAAACCCAACGCCTGTCATGGCAGGATCCCCGGGACAGTCAGGGCCCAACGGCGAGCCGGGACCTGCGGGGCCGCCAGGTCTATCCGGATTGAACGGGGAAAAGGGTGAACGGGGAGAGCAAGGTGAGTGACTGCACCTTTCTCACGAGGGCAAATCGATGGCACGTGGGGACCACCACCTGTGCTCCAAACACTTTGAGCAAGCGCGGCCAGCGACCTTTGCGTGACCCTAACCCAATCTAATTGGACAGGACCCAACGGGAAGATTGGACCCGTGGGCACGATTGGGCCGCGAGGAAACCCCGGAGAGGCCGGTGCGAAGGGCGACAAGGGCGATACACCCGTGATTAAGAAGTCAGCGTTCAGCGCCAAGGCGACAATCTCCAAGACGAAACCGCAGGGCGCGGGTGTGATCGTGTTCGACATCATCATATCGAACGACTTCGGCCACTACAACAAGGAGACCGGCAAGTTCACGTGCGCGCACGCGGGCCATTACTACTTCTCGTTCCAAGCTCCCTCTTCGGGCACGCCGCTGCAAATCGTCATGAAGGTCAGCGGCAGACAGGTGCTGACCCTCTACGACCACTACACGGCCGCCGGGGGCTCGGACACCATGAGCGGAGGCACCGTGCTGCACCTGAACGCCGGGCAAGAGGTCTGGCTGGAGATGGCGGGGGCAAACGTCGGCTTGTTCATTGACTTTGCGCGCGACGCGGTGTTCACCGGTTTCCTTTTATACACCGATTGACCCCGAGGCACGGCACCGGTCAGACGGCGTTTGGCGTCCTCTTGACGAGCTTGTTACACGGCAAAGCCCTACCAACCCCCTCCCCGATGTGCGCGCGCGCATGTGCGTGTGTCGGAAACAGCTGGGCAGGATGCACAGTGGACGATGTGTGCCCAAGCGCTCGGCTGTGCGATGCTCACGTTACAAAGTGTGCGCGCTGTTCCCCCTCTGCTTGTATTGCCAAGTTACGCTGACACCCCCCCACCCACCACCGCCTTCGTCTTCCACTCCGAATCTGTCCCCGCTTCCATTCCCTGCACTCCGGGATGCTCAACGCCAGGAGTCGGCAACCAATGTCACAAGGCGGGCCATTTTTGTTGGAATTCCGTAAAACAAAACAGAAATATTTTAATAGCCGCAACGCATGTGAATGATGTCACGAAGCAGTCCTTAAAAAGGACACGGGGTCACCGACCCCTGCAACATACCATACCCACAATCCCCATTCACTGATATCAAAGCATGGGGCAGATCACACAGAAGGGTAACGATGTGTTATTATATGGCGAGGTATTTACTGTGTTTGTTTCCAAAATGACATCAGCGATTTGGTGGACCAGCTCAAGCAAAGCGGACAACAAGGAGGACAACGGAATATCTCTGACAGCCCCAAACCCTTCCACCGAGGACACAACGCTCACGCGTGGATGCGTCATGCACAGTGCGGCATCCACGTCAACGTGAGCCGGGAAGCATTCCGCTAAACCTTGGCAATTATTTCATAAGAATATTATTTGGCACCAAGGTGGCGAGATGTTAACTGGTAAACACGAGGTCGTGGGTTCAATCGTGACCCTGGCGCCTGTATATTTGGAGTCTATATTTGTTCTCCCCGTGATTGCGTGAATTTTTCTCCGGGTCCTCTCCACATTAGAAACAACATTAGTTTAGAGTATTTGGCTGCTATAAATGTCCACATGATACGCTTCTTCGTTGGGCTATCATTTGTTGGCCAGGTCGCTTCTGAAAAAGAGCTACATAGCTCAGTGGGCCTCACCTGGTAAAATAAAAAAATAATAGCAAAACAATCCAGGAGCATTCCGTTAATAGGTAAAGGTACAGCCCTGCAACTGCCTGCTCACGCAACTGTTGGCGGAAGGCACGCCAATAGAGGGATCTCTAGTGAGGCCCTACGCGAGCGTATTTTTGGCCTACTCCTCCACGCTGGCCAGAGTCCCCACGCTTTAGCCCATCACACGTGACCTGCCCGTCATAGACTACGGTGCACCCGTTTATACCGCGGGGGGTTGGGAGAATCTAATAAACTTGCACAATTTTAACGCCGCAACGGGAGATAGAATAGCCGGACTTACGCATTGCGGCGATAACCAGTGCACAATGGCAACATCGAAACGTGCATAGCTAATTAGGTCTGATTTAAACATATATATGTTATTCCAAAGCCATATTACAGTACAGTATTAAGTATGCGGCAATGCTATGTGTGTACGTGTTTACTTACCTTCGACTAGTTTGCACTATCCTAACGTAATACGTTTGCCGACAGGAAACAGATGTCAAATAGATCCTCTGATACTTCAATGCCGGTCTAATGGTGCACCCTGTAGCTTTGCTAATTGCCACGTTGCTTGTGTCTGTCTTCACTCAATACAATGCCATAGAAATGCCTTTGCAAGCTCTTGCTTTTTTTACACGTGTCAAAAAAATTTAATTAAATATATCCTCCCCCCACCCTCCAAAAAAAAAAAGTTCCGCAGAATGAATCCCCCTTTTGGGCTTTGCATTGCACACGAAGGATTGTGGGAATCAAATAAATGTGCTTCAATAATCACCGGGAGACGTCGTTGTGGTCACTGATTTGCATGCCAGTGTGCCGTGACACATTCCTTCACGCGGGCACTGCATTGTATGTGTTGCACACTCGAAATGAAAGACGTGGGCAGGTGCTCCAAATCGAGGGCAAGCACATTTATTTATTGTGGTTAATAGCAATCTTGTGAAGAACAGCACCGTCACTCTGTAAAATGCAACAGCACGTGTTACAACAGCAATTCTTCCGAGTCGCCATTAACCACGTGGCTGGTTTACACGTGCGGTGATTCATTAACCCTGCCAGCCACCTACCGGCCCGACTCGGTCATCACATGCTGCTGTACACACATGCATTGATGCACTGCACAGCACATCAGGACTTTCACAGAACCACACTTTACTCCCTTGCTGCACAAGGACATAATTAAAAGAGTGATCCATTCCTAATGTGCCACATATGTACTATGTTGAACGTCTTTCGCTGACCGGCATTGAATCTCGTGGGCGATGTAGACCTGAGTAGCCGCACGAGATATCGGCACTCGTAGTCGTCAGGTACACGGCGAGAGGCGAGGCAAAACGTGATTGCTTCAACTCACACTGGCCAGAATGGTGAAGTATGGTCAAAACACAGCGCAAAGAGCACGCTGTGATGTCACAGTGCACATAGGACGGAGTGACGTCACAGTCTCAACGTTGGGGAGGGGGGCCTCAAGCCCCCCCCCCTCTCTCCCCCCTCCCCTTCCCTTCCGACACAATGGGGCTGGATTTGCAGGTGGAGCCCACCCCATATGTAGTTTAAATGCATGCACGTTAGCATCATGGTACGTGCCCACGCTAGCAATTACACATGCACGGTCTACAATGGAACAATTGTACAATGCAGTGCGAGTGGGGCAATTAACTCCCACCGAGACGATTTTTGTGAGTCACGATTCAATCCTGTGGTGTCAAGATTCAATTTAGCAATCTGTTATTTTTACATTTTTGGTAAACGGTTAGCATCGCTCCTGGCTGAAGGGATGGTTGTGAACCTCCTTAATGCCATCAGACTAGTCACGTGACTGTCCGGTGTGCAGGCGGTGTAACTGCACAGGGGCCCACGTGATGCAGAAGCCCAGGTCACGGGCTACGAAGAGGTCCCAATGCATTCCTTGCCACAAATTAGGCGCACGCCAACCGTGCTACGCCGCTGCTGCTGCATTCCACGCAGCGTAGGAATGAATGCGTTTGAGAATCCATATGGATCGATTCGTAATAACAATCATTGCTGTGTTGTATAGTTACAATGCAGACAATGTGGACGTGATGGAAGCGCGTGCAGTATCAACCACGAAACATCTCTGAGTGGAAAAGTCGTGTCTCTTTCAGACGCATATTGCTGAATAATAATTGCAGCTTGCGCACTTGCAGATTCTTTTGATCTGCTAAAGTGTTGCACTCATTTTTCGTCCCCCGGGATAACACCCGTCCCCGACTCTCGGCTAAAAAATTTTGGATTTGATGTTTTTCTTTTCTTTCTACACGAGTGTTTTGCGAAAGAGATTGTGTCGGCACGCACAATGCATTCCAATGTTCCATTCTAAGTCGTGTCATCTCGTATTTTTGTTAAATTCCATGTGATATTCCCAAAGCACACAACGAGTGTTGTCGCTTTTCTGGTGAAGCGGAAGAGCTGCCATTCGAGACGGTACAAATCCCACACCAGGGTCTATGTAGTCTTATCAATGACATTCCTTTGGGAACCAGTGATGTCTGTACTCACGTGCAAAACGGGCCTGTGTACATGGCGGTCCAGATGTATTGTGAAACCCCCAATTAATTGACCCTTAATAGTTTCCTTTGTTTATTCATTTATGAGAATAGCTTTTCCCCCTTTTTCAGGCAATAAAACAGGTGTTAAGATGTTAAAACACCAAACTGAAACCTTTTACAAGGAATCATGTCTGCATTAACCACAATACTTGCGGTCAGAATGCAAACAAAACACATACCCTGATAATATATGCATTGTCCTTGAAACTGATTGGCACGAAGTGAGGCACGTCAGCAGTTAGTTCGTTGGTGACCTTTCTTTCACCCATCTAGATAACAAGTCTCTCTCAAAGAGTGATCTGGCTCAACAAGTGACGACATTTCTACACTAAAGTCAAATAATGGGTGTTGAATACCAGCCAAGCGTGAGAATGGACAAAAAAGCCTAAAGCTATCACAGGCGGTTGTCCGGATGAACATGTAAATGTCATCATGGGCTAAGAGTCACTGAGTTTTTTCACCTATTGAACCATAATCCAAACCTTACAGTGACTCATCTTCTCACCACTGTTCCGTGCATTAGACCAGACCACAGGTAATTAAGCACGTGTCGTCAAAAAAACGTATTCACACTATCCGGGTGAAATTCATCAACAGACACAATTAACAAATTTCGATGTAAAGCTTTCGTGACTGCAGGGATTCGTCTTCTTGGTTCTTTCGGTAAAGTCACGTAGAAGGGAAATAATAAAATAATATTAAAACATAATAAAATACAATTCTCACGACGTTTCGGCCACAACGCAAGCAGCCGTCCTCATGTGAAGAACAGGTCTGTCGGAAAGACAGCGTCTGAATGTCTTTCCGACAGACCTGTTCTTCACCTGAGGATGGCTACTTGCGTTGTGGCCGAAACGTCGTGAGAATTGTATTTTATAATGTTTTCTTTTTATTATTTTATTATTTCCCTTCTACGTGACTTTACCGAAAGAACCAAGAAGACAATTAACAAAATCAAATCATCCCTCCACCCTGGACCAATCCAGCGATCACATTTCAAGTCTTTCATGGGCAATCCAATTTCCAAACAAAAGCTGATGGGATTCAGGTGCATTCACTGCTTACGGTCGTTATTATTATAATTGCTCTTCTCGCGTTAACTAGCAGTTCTAAATACTAATTGGAGTCGTGGAGCAAGGGCGTATGATTAGCAAGTCGTGGAGCAAGGGCGTATGATTAGCAAGGCATGCAAGCGACGTGAATGATTATAATTCACTCGCCCTGGTTCTCATTACTGAGCACGAGGAGCAGCAGGGCGACAGGCTGTTTGGAAAATGAACGCGTGGGCAGAGGCCCCTAGCGGCCAGTCTCGCGAGAAATTAAACATTATTTGGCAGTGGTTGCAAGGGCACAAATAACAACAAAACCGAACACGATATATAAAATACGTAATGGTTTTTTTATTTTAAGGCAGTATTATTGACACACGTATTGAGCTGTTTTTCTTGCCAAAGGCGCCTTTTTCAAGACGTTAATACCGGCTTTCGCAGTCAACGAAATATCTGCGATGAGTCATTGCAGCAGCTGCTGCTGCTGATCAACATTGTCGTAAGATGGTGATGATGACGTTGGAAGTGGTACACTGATTATTACGATGTATGTAATGATGATTATTGGAAAATCTGCAAATGGCATGATAATCGGTGCTTAATTTCTCATGTAATATTTTCCACGCCCCCACCACCATCCTTGGAATCTGGGGAGTGGAGGTATTCTTACACACTTTTATTATGACAAATGACACACTTATATTGTTGCTGTTATCTGTTTATATTTTTTGAAATCTTTAACGCGAAATATCTTCGGATCTACGAAGCCGAACGAGCTGAAATTTTCAACACAGACTCGCCTACGGGCGTGACAATTCAAGATGTCATAATAATCAAAAGAACCGACCCAGGTGCCGCCCATCTTCTCCGGTTGAAATTAAACCATGTGGAGAAAATATTGATGTTGATGGTAAACTAATGGGTTCGCTGACGATCCCGTGATGACAAACTGATTTTCATAGTCATCATCATCAGCAGCCATGATCGATCCACAGCTGCTGATGCTGAAACTCTTTAATAATTCACTATGTAACACGATTTTTGTTCCTGGGTAGTAAGTGTTATTTTCTAATTGATTATGCCTAAAAAGTATAGAAAATGGCAATTATTCCGCACAAACTTTGCTTTTGTGACCAGGACTTTAAGTGAAGTAAAGACCCAAATGCACACCACGTTTTCTCATTGAAAATAGGTAAATTTCAAAACATCACTGTCCTGGTCACAAAAGCAAAGTTTGTGATGAATAATAGCCATTTTATCTATTTTTTAGACACAAGCAATTAGGAAATAACACTTACTACCCAGGAACAACATTTTTTTGTTACACTGTTATCATCCACGCCGGAACTGACGTGCCATGAATGTTTGTGAGTTGGCACGCAGCGACCCGCAGGGCCACGCGCGCCTCTCGCCTCTCATTGACGACTGCAGTCACCACCATCGCTGCCATACCCAGCCTGCCCCGAACTCTCCACTCATCCCAGCAACCGGAGTGACCACTTTAACAAACCAAACAACAGAGACATCATTAACGGCACAGCAATCAATCCTCGTCTACGAAAAGGAACCACCACCACTGCGTAAGCCGACGTATCATCCACGTGGAGACAAGCAACGCGAACGCCGTCGCAGCCCTCCCGTCCTGGAGAGGGGGAACCCTGCGGTCGGGGAATCTATCGATGTCACCCGGGTAAGAGACTCGAACCGGCCAAGGGACGTCAACAATCCATGATGACGTCTCGTGTCTCCGTATGCGCTCATCACGACCCACGACCTAAGAACGATAGCATTGAGTGTTGTGTGTCTAAGGAGCCCGCAGTGACGGGACTGTATGTGTGTGGATGTCAGTCCAATGTCCCTTACCTCCCGGGGGCTCTGTGACGATGCATTTAATAGCCGAGTGCTTCGTTTGCCGCCAGAGGGCGCTGCAGCAGAGAGGGAGGGGACGCCCTATTCCAGTGTTGCTTCACTCGTTTTCACAGAGAGAGGTGGGGTGGGTGGCAAGCCACTTTGGCCGATAAGACATCATCGGTGTGAGAGGGCCGTGACACATTTGAAGCCATTGCGGGTTTGACAGCAGCACGGTGATGATGATGATGATGGTGTTGTCACGTGTTGTGTATTGTGGGGGAGACCGCACGCCAGGGGCCTAACT